CCATGTGACTAGTGACATATGTGAATCAATGTATGCATCCACTTAATGCTGTAATTTCTTCACATTTTTGCTTGTTTATCGATTTTTTATGTACAAATAGGGAGTTCAAAGGCGTAAGCCTATTTCCCTCAAATACACTGACTGACTGACTTCCGAGGAAATGCTGATATTCAGATCTCAAACCCTTTCTGTACTTAGACCTTAGTCGGATGAATTGGTGTTTTTTTGGAATTGAGTTTGGAAAGTCATTCATCACACCACTGGTAAAGTCGATCATAGTTGATTTGCAACTTTATCGCGTCCTGTGGTTTTCTAATTGAAATCCACATCTTCGAATCATCAGCGAACATAACATTCTCACAGGATACGAAGTCTAGACAGTCGTTCACACATACGAACAACAGGATGGGACACAGGACGCTCCCTGCAGAACCCTGCTGTGAACGGTTTACCACTCCGATTTGGCGTCATCAATGCGAACACGCCAACGTCGGCCAGTGAGCAATTCGGCCATTTACTTTGGCAGATTGCCAAACGCATCTATTTGAAGCAGTAGATAGATAAGCCGTCTGTGTGGCCCCTTGCCAAAGGCTTTGCTGAAGTCAATGCAAACTGCATCTACTGACAAAACCGTCTCCAAGGATTTCGTCCGGCAGTCCGTTGATGTGGACGGGCTAGTAAGACAGGATTGATCACCCCTAAATCCATTTTTAATGCGTACTAAGTAGGTCATTCTCCTCAATATGTCTCGTAATTTGTTTTTTTTAATATTATTTTCTCCATTAGGTTGCAACAAATGCTTGTGAGACTAACTGGTCTGAAGCTTTTAGGCGAGGTTATTTCTACTCATTTGAATGTTGGGAGAAAACAATTCAAATATATCAAGATACTCTCGAAAATGAGCACCGTTGTTGGCGTCCGTACAGATTTTTGCTTTTTTGTTATATACTCTCTCCTTTCGTTCGTGTCTTTTTTGTTTCACCATTCATATTTCCATTCTGCTCGATAGGTCTTGTAATTCTGCTGTTGGGAAGAAGGAGACACGATCGCTAGGGCAAGTACTTTTTTCGCCTGACGTTTCGTATTACTGCTCGAAACCATCATCAGAGATAGTAACAGATACAAATGGTTCATACACAGGGGACCACAGTATTTATAGAATACAGTCGCCATGCTACTGCACACCCATGAAAGATCACAGCTCCCCCATCATCAGGGATTGTTGCATTTGGTGTAGTGGTTGGTTGAGGTCCAACATTCGTATCGCTAGTTGTTGCAATTTCATCGAGGAGATTAGGGGCAGTGTTCACCTGTGCAATCCACGAGTGGCTAACGTGTATGAAAGGGAAGGTCGTCGAACTTGTGAATGGAATGGAGGCCAGTAAATCATGACTCAAGCTACTCGCGGCTTACGCGGTTAGCAACTCCAACGAGAACTTCGGCCTCGTAGAATATGAATGTATGTCCGGATCTCGTCAAATGGGCCGCAACTTGAGAGCTGGCGTTATTTCTCCGCACGGCTGCAGCACGTTCGGCCATTCCCGTTCAGAGCTATCTTCCGGTTTCTGCGACGTAGTTGCTTTGTCCACAACTGCGCCAGATCCGATAAACGACTCTAGACGTTTTTTGCCGTTGCAGCGGGCCTTTAGGTTTCATTACCTGACGCCTGATGGTTGCCTCCGGTCTGTGTGCAACTCCAACCCTAAGCAGTGTGAAAAGACTGCTGACAGTCTCCGAAACGTTCTTGGCATACGGTAGCGCTCACCAAAATTTGGGGTGCTTGCGGTTTGGCCTTCCTTCATTTTTGCGTATGCACCGGTTGTCTAGGTTGCATGGATAGCTAGTTGATTTAAAAACACGTCGGAGGTATTATATTTCGGTAATCTTGTAATGCGTTTCGACACACAGATAGAGAGTCCTTACATAATTGCTTTTGCGGCCGATTGGTGGTTGCTGCTGAATTCAGTATTTGCATCGTATTTGTCGCTTTCCTGAACACTTAAGAGTTTAGGCAACCACAATCTTTGCGGCATACGAGGACATCTAGGAAGGCCAACTGGTTGTTATCTTCCTCCTCCATCGAACACCGTATGTCCGGTCAGACCGCAGTGTGACGTTCTTTGGCTGATAGCAACTGATCCAAGTCGATGACGACAAAGATGCCATCTGCATACGGAGCCCAGAATTTTGGTCTGTGACGTCCGGAAGATCAGCAACTCTAACCGTTGCAGGAAAACTTCGGCGATTAATCCCGAAATCGGCGAACCGATTGGTATATTCGTCAACTGTTCGTTGATTGTCCTTTCGAACATTAAGTACATCCTTAGACAGAAATTCAGGAGCTGAAGAACTTGGGCGTGTCCAAGACGGTTCGCCGCCTTGTTGTATATGCTTTGTATGAACAGCCCGATTGTCTCGACCGCCATATCCCGGGGAAGAGAAGTAAGAAAGGACGTAACACCGAAAGATACCATGACCTCATTTTGTTGGAAGCTCGCTCTTTTGAATTTCTACAGAAATTGTGCTGACGAAGAGACCACGGTGTCTGCCTCCCCCGAACTGCCACTAAACCAGTACGTACGTTGGAGTACCTTTGATCAACCCGATGTACTGGATAGCAGTTGTCTTTTTGTGCACCTTAGGGAAGCCATAGAATCGGGCCAAAGCCGTATCTTGGGGGTCTTGCCACGAGTATGTCGACAGGTGTTAATTCACCTGAATTCTCGAAGGCCAACAAAGTAGCATTAAGTTTCGCGTGTCAGCGCTTTTACAAGGTTCGTTGCACATGGGTCATGGAATTATCGGTCCCTGTAAACCTTCGGATTTTTGAAGGTAATCTGTCCTGTCCAGTATAACCGAGGAGCGCTTATTGTCCGCTGGCACGATGGCAAGATATTTGTCGACCTTGAGTTCTCTAAGCGCATCACGTTCGACCTTGAATAGCACTTCTCTCGGTACGGAGGCGAGGCAACACTTGGTGTCGGATAAAGCCCTTAGTCTCATCCGTTGATTCCGTTTGATTAGAGAATGATTCCACTGCAGCAGTCATGTTAACAGGTTTGATGTCAACTGAGTTGAAAAAAGATTAATGCGGTAGCAATTGCATCTGATCCCTCTTCAGCTCCTTTGACGACAGATTGTGAAAATGTCTGTCGATTCTGGGCGACGTTAGATTAGGCAACTTTCGGAATTTGTTCGCTAGCGAGGCGTCCCGTATCACTCTCTGTTCGCGGGCTTGTTTAGCCACCCTCTGCCGGAACAGATTTGTACCGATCTCGCCCATGAGCTCACAGCATCTGGTCTTTTCTTGGTCACACCTCTGACGATACTTACGAACTTTCGCATGGCAATCTTGCAGGAGCACTCGGATCATCCTTGTGCCATGATGAAAATCTGCCGAAATTGCAGCAATTAATTAGGCTCTCAACCAATCATTACACCAAGTGCGAAAATCCCTGATGAAGGGGGGAGCCGTGAATATGCATGGGCATGCGGTAGCATGAAGAATGCCTTCTATAAATACTGCAACCCCCTGTGTACGAACAATCTGTATCTGCTACTGTCTCTGATGATGGGTTTGAGCAGGAATACGAAACGTCAGGCGATCGTGTCTCATTCTTCACGACTGCTTCCTATGACTCGTCTCTTCGTTTCTATTCTGCTGCTCTTGGTTGGCCTGATATTTGACCTTTGTTGGCACGTTCTTGCCAAAAGAAGCATGGGATTCACGGATGCATGTTTTGAGACCGAAGGCCGAAAGTAGGGTGCTTTTCAAAATTTACTAATGATGATGGACTGCAGAAATTCCCAAATGAACACTAATTCCATAAACTTGTGATGTCTACGTCTTCTATTTAAATCTTCGGTTCTTTAAAGAAACATTTTAGTTAATGTCGTCAAAATTTGTTAAAGCGAGTACAAGTTCTACCTTTGTTTTTCCTTGTCGGCGACCAGAACTTTTGTAAAGACCATTTATTTAAATTGTCGTGAGCGAGCCGTCATCTGCACAAAATGCGATCGCGTAAACATTGCATCCCCCATTATTAAGTTTGGTCTTTAGCATCGCTTAAGAGTCTGAAAAGGCCGACCGCAGCCAATGGGGTTGTCCAGACTCCACCAAGTTTGTTACATGACGATTTCACTTTAATCTCAGTTTTAGAATATCGTTCGCGGTCTGTGTCTCAGAATCTTCGTTCTCGGAGTTCTCTTGTTGGCAATGGCGAGGAATTATCTACGCCATCAAACTTAACAAACAACCACACAGACTTTGTGGGCGATTTTAAAGTCCCTGAAAGCCCGAGTAATTATTCCACCTGTCTTATTTTTTCAGTCAGATAAACCCTAAGTTCTCCGAAGACATATAAAAGCAGCGAGAAAGGCACGGACTAACAATCGACAGACTACTTGATGCCTTTTTGTTATTTTATGCGTTCATTTATCACTGGCCAGTTATGTTCACGCTGACTGCTCGTTTCTCGAATGCTAAAGTATTAGTCGATTCTGACTAGTATTTAATTTTGGAGACTAAGTAAGATGTTGACAGAAGAGGGGAAAGCATAATACTTCTTCAGATTGTTTGATACCATCTTGCGAAAGTGCTTCTTTCAATAAGTCTAGGGCCGTTCTGTCAAAACTCTTTATTCACGCCTTTGCTCCCCGCTCCCCGGCAGCACTGTCACTGTCGTTCCGCGCCTGTTTATTCGCCAGACGGCACATTTCGCACCTAATCACTGGATCATATTCCACTGTCTGCCATTTGTGGATACGCTGGATGGGCAGCAGCTTGGGCGAAGTGAAATCCATCTTCCCGCCTCGTCAGCACCATATGACATTTACTCTTTGTTTCCTCGACTGTTTGCTTATTTAGTTCTTTCGTGCCACAGTGCGTCCGATCAGTTACAGACTTACGGGTCCATGCGATTTTTTCCCGTTGTTTGCTCGGTCGTATTATACGCCTGCCTCTGTAATATCCAATCTACTAGTCTTCCGACGTGTTCATCCGGTATACGACTGTGAGGTGGGCTTCACTCAGTTATTCGACGCATAAATGTTTTTTCTAAGTACCCAATTTTCCAAAATTGGTAGTCAACTGGGCTAATAAATAGACGCCCTAACTTCAACCATCAGGACGATGTATCCAAAGCCACCAGCTAACGTTAGCTACGCCTGTTCGTGCCGACCACGCAGTCTGGTTAACTTGTGCTATGATCTAATCTGACCCACGTTTTGATCCAGCGCATCCGCAATGTGGCTCGTCATTTGGGGTCATAATTACCGCCGTACATGGGGGAGGTGGTGACATGCCTGGGCTTATGTATTCACATCGTGTCAGCCACTGCGCTCAATCCCCTCATCAGATGGCCGACTGGTTTGGATGGTCGAGGGGTGCATACGAGAGGGAAGAGAGTGAGGCCGACACTGAGGAATCCAATCCTACGGCACATCAGTGCATCCCTTGCTATAATCAATTTAATGCGTTTGTATTTACCACAAGTCAGTAAAAGTTGTGGCTTCGAATGCTACCAACTGATTGGATAACTCTGTCCTTTGCAGAACTAAAAGTTAGATTGCAATGGCTTCGTCATAGTGTGGCCTTTATGACACTTATCCATGCGAGATTAGAGTCGCCCGCGTGGAGGCCTGGTAACTACTATGGGACCAGGTCGTGCGTTTAATGCGTAGAAGCGCTATTTTGCTTTGCCGACCATTTTGCCTGGGCCCATCTCGGTTATCTTGACATTGTCTCGCCCTTGGAACTAGGTGCTCGAGGGGGAGTGTGGTAGATGCATTGTAAGCCTAATAACATTGTATAATAACTCACGCTCAAGTCACCGTCCCTGCGTTTACTCGCGGTGGACATCGTCGGTAACGATGACAGAACTTCATCTGAAACACTCAGAAGACCGAGGCTTTTCACTTAAACCCTGCGGATTGTCCTGTCTCTCGTTCACGCTGGATTGCGTTTCGGTCCACCGTTCATACCGTTTGTGCGTTGTCATCCGCCTTCTGCCCAACCGACTAGGCAGCTGTTGCCGCTGAACGAGACACTGACGCAGACTGAGTACATGGGTTTGATGGAGCAAGCTTTATAACTGAGTCGTTGCCCGTTTAACCACAGTAAACAACTCGGTTAATATGGAGCTGTTTGTCAAGGTGGCTTACCAGTACGCGCGCAGTTGCTCACATGAGCGCCTGGCTCAGGTACCTAGCTCATGTGCCGAACACACCCTCCAAGTCTGGTAAGGATGTGTTTTCATACCTGCGGCGAGTTGGAAAATTCCGTAGCGTCCATCCCTTTTGCGAACCCATCACACAGACTTTTTGAGTCTCTTAAATACTCTAAACTTAGGTCACGTAGTAATGTTTTTGGTCACACCTATCCCATAGGCCTATAGCTCGCTAGCACTCGCATGGCCTGTGTGCTTGCAGGGACTCCCACGGAGCTGACCTGTGCGAATGAGTTGAAGGAAAAGATCGGCGCCTATGTCACTAACCCCGGTCAATGTCACGTTTAGACGAGATCGGTTATGTATTTGGAGCGGAATATTGCTATTTTCAGTTACTTTTTGCTCGCAGAGGGCGCACTGATTTTGACGGATATCTTATTAGACTTTCTATTCCAGCTACCCGACTATCGAAATTGCGCATCTCTTTGCGATCCAGTGCAAATAAAACAAGAGACACAAGCAGTTTGGGTAAGTCTCCTACCAAAGTGGAATTTCTTATTGCTGCATTTATTGCCTTCACCATACAGGCCAGCATGACCAAGGATGTGCTCCAAACATCTCTAATTATGCATTAGCCTAACCGTCGCCTGGAGCCGCTTTGTTCTTTTTTGCTCCATTCCTTATTGGACATGTCTATTCTGCTCTGACAGTTAGGGGCTTAGCCAGTTCAGAGATATTCTGTCCTTTATTTGCTCCTACAAGCTCTAAAAATGATAACTTTAAGCTCACATACAGGTTGCTCTACTCCTTCCAAGCCGCTGTTTAATGCTTTTTAATATGAGGAATTTCCGGAGATGTTTACATATGGCTTACATTCACCTTTTATCCTTACTGACTTCTCATCTCCAAAATCGCCTCAGAGGGTAACCGGGTACCGGTAAACGAAATTAAGCAAAAGGACGAACGTTTGCGTTCACCTCTAAATGCCCCATCTCCACGAACACCACGGCGGGCATGCAAGGACGACGCTATGTCCAAGATCCTATTATGCTTTGAGAAGCTTTCCACCGAATGCGAGGGCCCGACTGTTAGTCGACGCTACACTGTTCAGAGAACTCCTCAAAAACAAGCAACAACCCCACGTGAGTTTCAGTATTTAAAGTTTTTGTCCTAACCCTCCAACACAATCAGGCAATCTGGGCTTCTCTGTTTCAGCCTACCGGTCTGATGTTCATCAGTTTGTCAGTTTCACCTGCCTCCCTGTTCCTCGCCACTAAGTATATTAGTATTTGCCAAGTACGGCGTCATCGTTCGACGAAAGTTCAGCTACTCAATGTTTGCATATGGTCTCTGTCAGGAGGGGAGTAACCGCAAGAATGCAGATCTATCCCGCCAACCTTGCTGCTGACTACGCGGGGCTGTAGAGCAGCCTTCAGCGAAGGTTGTCTGCGAAATAGATAGGCTTTCAGGTTTGAGAAATAAACAGCTGTGGACCAGCGCTGCTGTCCTGAGCCACTCAGCAAAAGCAAAGACCTCGTTTCGATATCCGAGGGGGCTGACTGTGAGATTGTGGCTGCACTTGGTATATTAGACCTGGTAGATACTAGACTCTCGCCGGATGTGTGACGCAGACATCGGTACCGTGAGTAGTCCTGATCACCCTCATATGAGGACTCCGCTGTGCCTCAAATTAGCTGTTGTCCAAAACCCACCATCCGGGTGAAATTACTGCGCAGATCGTTTTAAAGGTCCCGCTATTGTCATAGGCTTCCGTGGAACTGTCTTCCACCCATCCTACTGCACTGACGCAGGCGCCTTCAATTAAAACCGGGTCCGAACTAAAGAAAACTCAAAAGTACCTATCAGAAGGCACTTATACCATGACATGTGTCACCACAAAGATTAAATTCCTGACTAACCGACCTCATTTGTTGACAGAAGAAGGGCCACTCCTCTTCGTGACGATCAGGACTTGAGGAACTTGCACCGTCGGACCCTGCCCAGTATGACTAAAACAAACTCTGACCAAATCTATCCAACCACATTAAAGACTGGGGTTCTTCAGCATGGGTTGACAGGCCATTTGACATGAGGCCAATCTGTAAAACAAGCCTCGAGTATATGAGGCTTCTGCCAAAACAGTTTGCTTACACAGAAATAAGCTCAGGAGACGTATACTGACTAAGTATTTGATCGACTCGGAACTCCTCTCAGCAGCAAACATTTATGTAGTTGGCCTAGAATTCAGCTGGTACACTGCGCCCTCACCACTGACTGACTGAGATGGACGAGTTTTTCTCTGTGCTGGCTCGAAAGCGAAGTAATTCGGCTCGACTCCGACTGCTGAGGACGCAGAGTTGGGCAAATCAAGACCTGAGTGGGTATGATGAAAACTGACCTTCACCGCATGTCTGATCCCGTCGTCTCCGGTCTGTGGAGCTGGAGTGTTATATGACCCAACATTACTGGGGGGATTCCACGTCAGACGGACTGCAGTGGAGAGGACTCGCCGTAGTATGATGAACGTGCAGAACGCGGGGGATGGTGGCCGGGGGACTCTTGCAGTCACATTGAATTCCGATATGAGTGCGATCAGCAGGAAAAGGAACACAACTGACTCAGGCGGAAAAGTCGACTCCGCTATCGGCCCTGACATGACGAAGTCGCGTTACCGAATGCGGATATCAGATCTCCTGTCTGCATGAGCTCAAACGCTCTAGATCTGAGCACCTTCCGTCACACTTGCCTTTCACTCCCAACAATGTAATTTAATTCCTGTCTTTTAGGAAATCTTCGGAAAGCAAGCCCATAGTAAGTGCCGTGCAAAATGACTGCTTTTGTTTATTCCCATTTTTGCTTCCTTTGTCTAATGCATTTAAATCTCGATCATTCCCAGTGCCGACACAAAGTCGCCGTCTGACAGTAATTTCTGTCCTAGCGACGACAGTTTCGCTTCCTCCTCTTATTCGAGTGAATCCTCGTATTCGGAATCTTCTTCGACGTCTTCCTTCTCTGCGGATGATTCTAGTGATGACTGGGCGAAGCGGAAACCACACTCTCGTCGCCCAACGCAACTTAACAAGAAACCTCCAGTAGGCTTTGCGCCCTGATTGTCAAGCCTAATTATGTTCCTGCATGGAAATCATACTCTTTAATAATTAGCGGTCTTTATTTTTAAAACTACAGTTTTCAACTCCTAACGAGGTAACAGTGCCTAAACGGGCCGCCGGGGATACCGTTGACGAGAAATCGATCGCCATCAAGTAAGGTTTTGATCCGCACTATTGTTTTCTTCTGTTTTCCATATTCTCATGCAAATGCCGCTTGCGCTCACGTATGAGTCAGTAGTGTATTATATCGGCCCAAGAGTAATTTCTTAATCCCGCCTCGTCCATAAAGGCGCCATAGCCTGCCACATTTCCACTTTTTATCGTAATCCACATTTCCTATTTTCCCATAACCACCCAAAGAAAATCAACCAGTCTCTAATTGACCGATACAAAGTTAGTCCCATAAAAACCTTAGACAATTGCGGCCCGTTCTCCAAGTGTTCTTGCGGTGGTGAGACTTGAAATTTGGCTTAATGCATCCCTTGTATATTGTTCGCCTCTGTTCCGTGAAGACTTTCGCAGTTTCTTCTCACTCACTTGACTAGAACAACCATAAATCTGGAGCTCAGTTTAAAAATTCGGGGATCCAACGTGGTCAGTCACTTGTGGCCTGATCTTTTACATATTTTCAAAAATTGTGGCAGAAATGGCATCAGAAATCGGGAGACAATGCAGGAAATGGCGTCTCGCGTTGCGTTTTTATGATTAACAGACGCTGGCATAGAAATGAGTAACTGACTTTGTGTGACTGATTTCGAACAACCACCTTTTATTCCGTCCTTTTCATGTGGTTTCGGCCAACGGTTGGATTTATCAAATCTAGGATTTGGACCGGAATCCTTTGAGGTTATCCAAAATACGACCTGGACTACTGGTTTGCGCCGTATCGATACTTCTTAGGGAAATTTTGACAAGCATTGACGCTCACCGATTGGCTTGCTTGCACGTCAACAAGCACTGCGATTAATGAGGAATGTGGAAAGATCGAAGAATTCCTACAGATAGTTATGGACACCATTATACCCCAAAAAGTTGTGGATAAAGCTACAATCAACTTGCACGAATGGCGTCGGTGAAAGAAGGCGTATGAGCAATTTTGTTGGGCGTCTGCTCATATGCTCTGCTGCCGAACTTTCAGCTGCTTTGCGGTCTCAGATGAACAAAATGCGCATCATCTTCAATCAAGGCAAGTGAATCAAGCCAATCGGAGATCGGTAATGGTAGTATGTCGGTCCAAATCGACGAAGATCATCGTTCCGGTCGCCCTTAGTCTCCTGAGTATCAAAGACAGCCTACTCATGACCCGCGGTTACTGACAAAAGCTTGCGCGCTATCGACCTTATCGTCTCCCTTCATATTCCTTATGTTCTCGTGGGTTGCAATACACAACAGCGACCGCTCTTCGGGTCCAGTCACTAGTAGGCATGCCTGTTATGTACTTTGATTTAGTCTCTTCAGCCTGATTGCGGCCGTTGGCGGTCTTGTCTACACTATCTAAGTCGTCTTATCAGCCTAAGCCTGTCCATTGGGGGTAATAGCCGGTTTCCTCAATGCCATAATATCGAATTGCAGCCGTTTGCTGTTGCTTCTTTTGGAATGTGCAGTAAAAATGTGTGGCCTGCCATCGCCTAAAACTGGCACTCGAACTGATTTACACAGCCAAGCTTAACTGTAATCTGTTTGCCAACAGACCCCATGTTTCCATTTTTATTTCAGGCTCCAGAAATCACTCTTTTCGGAATGTCTACCGTGTCGGGAGCGCGAATTCGACGCCGTTTTCGAGTTCCTCATTGAGAGGCTTCAAACGCGCACAGGGGGGTAAGTTCCTCGCCTGAGTCAGACGTAAGAAGGGTCACCTAGGGCCGGCTTCGCTTTATTTTCCCAGAAGTCTGAGTCTGGCCAACTGGAGATAAGAATGGCCAATCTGACCTGAAGCCTCTATTTAGCACTTGCCGCACGGCTGTTTGTTCCCTTTCGGACCTAGTGCAACAGCACAGGAAGTTTTTACGGAACAATTTTAGACCATTATTTCTCTAGAGACAACGACTATTTTTTCCTAGTTGGTTTATCAGGAACGGATTTAAGTTTTCTTTAAACGAAAAAACCACAACAGAACTCCCTCCCTCCATCCGCTCCTCTCCTTCTCTCCCTCCCGTCACTCCCCCGTCCCCGTCTTATTTTTCTTTTCACTTGCCTCACCGAAGTATCTTTTTTAGTTCATCTTCGGAATTGCGGTGACTAAAAGTCCTGAAAATTCGAATGACTACCCAGGTTTCGAGGTGCTGGAAGCCTTCCACTAACTAAGTCTCCAATGGGGATTAGGACACAATCTTTCCAGCCTGTTGTACAACTCCTCACCTGACCCGCCTCATTTTTGGCCACCGGTTTTGTCTTTTCATCTTATCTCAACTGGACGTGATTGATGCTTTTCAAGCCTCTGTGACATGCCATCACGCCAGTTTATAATTGTGCGACTTGACATGTCCGAGGTCCACGTAAGCTAGTCTAGCACTTCCTTATCTCTCGGGAGGACTGCTTTCCACCAATCCAACGTCTGTGGGTTCAGGCTGATAAGCCTGGCTGATTGGGATATGTTACTCGAGCCCTGTCCCAACAGCTGCAAGGAGAACTGGGGTAGTTTTTTTCGACCTGTATGCTGCTACAAGTTTACCGTCTATTGAGTGACGCTTGAGAGAGTTAAATTCTGATTGGCCGCAATCAGTTCGAAGAGTGATCTTCATTTTTGTAGTTCGTATTTTCCTGACCGCCTCTGCCGTTCTCACCATCTCCCTTGACTTATGTGTATAGTGCATTTTGGAAATTTCCCTCTGTTTCTCCCTCACCGCTCGTCCGTTATCGTTCTTCTCTCACATCGTGTTCAGTTTCTCTGGAGATAATACACCCTAGAATCCAACTTTTTGCGGCTCTTATTCGTCGCCTTCGTAATTTTGGTTGCCGTCAAAGACAATGTTGAAAATTCCTGGTTCCTGTTCACCTCACGATGCTCGTTGGACCCTATTGAAGTCTTTACGACACTTATGATTCCTGCCTGGGAGGAACTTCTTCCTTCTTTTCTTCCCTATCGTCAGCTTCATCTGTTGGTTGCTTGACGGACTTGAAGCTCGTTCAAGTTTCTTACCCATTGGAACTGCAATTCTGAGCCTCAGAAGCAACTTATCATCGGAAGGGGGAGATATACACTATCCAGAACGGATACTCATTAAGATGTGCTTCAAAAGTGAATGTAATGGATCGGGAATTTACATATAACTCCAACTCGCCTTCTGCTAGAGCGAAGTATAAGGACCCTCCAAAAACCATAGGTGCCTCAACTGCAATTGCATGAAAAGTTATAGTGCAGCAATTCGAACCGCCCAATGAAAAGTAGCCATAATGTAAGCGCGGATCACAAGACGGTATTCTTATACTTCACTCCCACGGGAGTAGACAAGTGGTTTTGACATACCATTCCAAAGTATCGTCTAAAATAAGCCCAATATCGACTCGAATGTTCACATCCCTGGTGCATGTAGAAGTAGGGAAGAAGAGGAAGAAGATTCTAGGCGCAAGACTACACATTTGGATTAAACGCTAGAAGCCACATGTCAGACTATGCAGCCCACCCATCAACATCTTCCTGTAGTTTCTGCGAGTCGTCAACACAGATTATTGTTTTCCAGATCTTTATATCATCTGCAAACATGATGGCATCGCATTCAAGATCTTCAGTACAGTCGTTTATACACATGAGGAAGAAGAGAGGACCCAAGACTGAATCCTGCAGAACGCTTCCTTTTACTGACACCCATTGAGATGACGTAGTACCAACAATTACTCTTTGGAGCCTGCGTGACAAGAAACTTTTAATCCACGTAAAAATGTTGCCCTGTATTCCACACTCCCAAATCTTCTGTGGAAGTCGTCCACGAGGAACGCTATCAAACGCCTTTTTAAAGTCAAGGAAAATGACATCCACTGGACGACCCTGGTCTATGCCTTTTGTCCATTTTTCGTGCGAGTAAAGACTGCTCGTAAGACATGAATGACCACGACGAAATCCATGTTGAGCAGCACACAGTGGGTCCCTCTGCTCCAGATACGTCATTAAATATCCCGTAATAAGTCGTTCCATGACCTTGCACAAAATGCAGGTTAAACTGACAGGACGGTAATTTTCGGGCTCCAACCTGGATCCTCCTTTGTAGATTAGAGAAATACGGAACGTTTTCGATTCCCCCGGCAGTTCGCCTTCTCCCACGGACTTCTAAAATACAGTACGTCAGCCAATTCTCGAAGGACAAGTTGATGAATTCTATCTGGACCAGGTGATTTGGCAGGCTTCAGCCGGCGTAGTTCAGTCCTTATCAACGTGGGCGAGAAGTAAAGATTGTCTTCTAATGCAGGAGATGAAGGATTTTGTTGTTCGTCTGGGTAAGGCATAGGAGGAGGATTTGTGTCATGAGTGAATACCGACTGAAATAAACTGGAGAAGACTGATGCTTTCATTTTGTGATCTGTCTCAATTACACCATTTTTGGGACCTCAGCGCCGAAATCGGGCTGCGATTTCTCTTGCCATAAAGTATGTAACCATAGAGGATTTAGGAATGCTCCAGAGAGTTTTGCAATATGCATACCTCATAGTTCCTTTGAAGTCTACTGGCCTTGCGTTTACACACATTCCGCTGTCACTTCCATTCCTTCAAGTTTTCAGGACTGTCTGTTTGTCGATAACGTCTCCATACCTTATTTCTACTCTTAAACGCCATTTGTAGTTTGCGGTTTATCCACGGCGGACGGTTGTTTGTTTTCTTTCGTCTGAGTGGACAGTTTAGATTAATTATTTTAACCAGTGAGCTGAAGCTGCTCCAGTAGTCGTTAACTGTTCCCTGCAATGTGGTTGTGCACGGCATTGTCGAGATTTCCGTTCGCATGTTGAAAAAATCCCCCTTCCAGTTATTCGTTTGCAATTGTTCAGGTGAATCAGGTTGGGAGAACACGGAGTACTCGAAGAGCATCACAATGTGATCACTAGCACCGATTGGCGGGAGATCTTGTGCATCCAGCACACTCTCTTCATCTCAAGTGAGCACTAGGTCGAGGCAGGTTGAACTTTGCCCTTCGCTAACACGTATTTCGAGGGCTACATTCTGGAAAAGTAGTTTTTATGCTTCCAATTCAAGCAAATGTTGTCCGAATGTGTTCGATGAAACCGAAACCGTCCAAGCTTGCTAGTCGATATTTGGGGCGTTAAAGTCCCGTATTGGTTAATAGGTTCTTGGTAGCTTTGGGCTGATTTGTAGTTCGGACACCTAGTCCTGCGGCAATGCGCTCGCTCGCCTCTGACTTGTTCTTGATGTATGGCAGAGAATATCATAACATAGGTGCTGTTTCTGGGTGGGTCCTCCGGGGGGCGAACATGTAGGCATCGACTTACGAGCGCCTTCGGATAGCCGTTGCGCATAAATTGGCCGCGCAGATATCAGACCTCACGTGCTTCTTCTCCCGGCTTGATGCAATGTATCTGAATCCGTTTGAAGAGTTTCCACACAGCTTATATTGTGAGCCACCGGGTGGTTGCTGTGACGATTGAGAAGCTAGGCAGTGTTCGTCACCTTCATGCAGACCGTTGCTTCTATTTCACCATCTTCAACTGACGAGCACATCGAGGAAGAGCAACTGCTGTTCCTTTTCTTCCTCCCCTGTGAATTGTATATATGGGAAGATTGAGTTTTGTAGATTATGAAAGTTGTGCAGCATGTTTTTCCTGGGGATGCAAGCGGTTTTTTCGGGTAATGCCGCCAATTTCATTTTTCGGCATCCCGAATCCAAAAGTTCCCCATGTTAAGGCTGCGAAGCTGTCCTTTCTTTCACAGGTTTGACTGCAAAGCACACACGTACGAATAGCATAGCAAAGCATACACCTCAAATGACGGAATATTACAAAACGTAAAACTCAATTAACTCATAAGACGTCGTGGACTGCCAACGGAAGGGTTTTCTGTCGATAACTGAACCTGTAGCAATGGAGCTGTTTTTGCGAGCAAGGTACATAAGAAAACCAAGTCGGTCATGAAAACGAAAGGAATAAGTCTAACTTAGGTTTTCCCTGAGGTGTGTTTGTACGCTTTTAGGTCTATAATTAGAATCCCAAATAATACGCGTCTTTTCGTCTGTTGAGATTCCAACATCGATAAAGCGGAAGGATAGGTAAATACGAGGCGAGAGGAAGATGTGATTTCCCAAATTTGCAGTGGCATGCCAATAAAGAGTCCACGAGGAAGACAATCTCGCGCCCACCTATGATTTATGCACTGTGGGCTGCGACGCGCCTTAATTGCAGTTGCACAAAGGTGCTTGGTATTGCAATTCGACCTACCTATTAACAATAAGTAGTAGTGTAAGCGAAAATTACAAAGCGAGCTCTTTACTCATGCTTTGTGTGAAGGGAGGCTGTGGTTGGTCCACCGTGGTAGTCCACCGAGCTGGCGGACAATCCGCCTAAGTTTGGTTGACGTTGCCATCGGTACGCCCAACTGAATTCGACTTAGGGCCGACAAGCCGGCTCAGTCCATTTCCAAGCAAGTTTAGATTTGGCTAACACCTCGCACTAGACATGTTTACTGCGCACATGTGCCGTGCGCCCGAGTTACTTGACCGGTCAATTGCCCAATTAACTTGGATTCGCATTGACAACAAAGGGCTCAGCATACGTCAACCAACACCACAACCACACAGAACATCGTGAACACAGTTGCGTCTCCTTAATTCAAACACAGTAAATTTTTTCTCGTTATCTTTCTAAGGTTCTGGTGTTCTGCGGATTACTGTTGCATTATCCGCTGTTATCGTTTACAACCATGGCGTAGGCCGCAGCAATACGCAATCGTTTTTAACCTTTGTGGTCTTTGACCGAAGCCAACTCATTTGCCTCTTGTTTTGTTCCTTTACTCTCTCAACCAAGGTCCACACGCTGATAGGCTGTTCCGGTATTTACACACGCGTGTATCTTAACATTAAGCCTCCCCATTTTCAGTTTCCGTCCCGTAGAAAGGGTCTGAAAATGATCATGGCTCTCTAGGGGGTGAAGGCCAATGTAGAACTGGAATAAACATAAAGTTGATTAATTCATTCGCTCATACTGTTTCCGGAATCCCCTCCCACAGCAGCCCATTACCTCATCCAATGCCCAGTATAGGGCCCTTATAATCGCCAGCTAATCCTCGTCTGGCTTACGAGCCGGCCAAGCTCGACCTTCAAAACAAAGCATTCATTAGAACTTTCCTTTAAACTGACGCACTTTTTGTTCATACCGCCTTAACTTTTTCGGCCAGATGCACATTTCCTTAGACAGTAGCCACCTTCCCACGTCATTTGAAAGTTCCACGCCACCACCGATCACATCCTCTTCTGTCACGGCGCCTGAATCTCGCACCATCGCGTGCCTCGAAGCACTCCCGTCGGCAGTTTGAATGACATCTTTCCCACAGCGGCAGTTCGACCAACGTATCCGACGATGTCCACCGTATGCTCCGCAGCAAAGTGAAGCAGGCACGGTGACTTACGCATGAATTAGTCTCTAGTAAGAGTAGACTTTCGCAGCACCTACCGCACCCTCTCCACCTCCCCCACCTGGACCCGGTGTCAAGAAATAGTCAAGAAGATCGGAGGCAGGAGAGGACGCAGGGGGCTGGCACGGCCGGACCCGCACCTAAGCGTACCGCCGCACCCCCTGGTCCACAAGAAACACTCGACCAGTATTGTGCCTAAAAAGCAGCACAACCGCGGGTCAAAATGATAACCTGCATACCCAGCGGGAGCGCAAGCGCATCTATCGGCAGGGAAGTCGTTCGTCTGCGAATAACTACAGGCCAGTGAGTCTTACCTCCATCTGTTGCAAACTCATGGAAAAAATCACTAAGAAGGCCTTGATGCAGTTCTTCGAGCACCACCACCTCCTTTCCGATGTCCAACACGGCTTTCGAAGCAGTAGGTCCTGTCTTACGAATCTGCCCTTTACGCTCGAACGTTGGACCAGAGCACACGATGCAGGCAATGTGGTGGACGCCATCTACATCGACTTCAAAAAGGCCTTCTATAGCGTTCCTCACCAACGTCTCTTTCATAAACTGCGCAACGCTGGAATTCGTGGACGCCTTCTTGTATGGATCCAGAGCTTTTTGACTGGACGGTCCCAAAGAGTGTTGGTCGGGCGTCAACAGACCTCAGAGGTAAGCGTGGTCAGTGACGTCCCACAGGACTCAGTCTTAGGCCCCACGTTATTCCTCGTTTTCACAAATGACTGCGTCAAGGACCTAGACTGTGATGCCATCCTGTTTCCGACGACATAAAATTGTGGAAAGTTAGTCACAATGTGGCAGACGCAAACCACCTGCAAGCAAAATTGAACAGGCTCGAAGACTGGTCGAAGCGCTGGCTTATGCCCTTCAATGTAAGCAAGTGCAACTTCCTTCGACTCAGCAGCTTCAGAGCCTCTAGCCCCAGGACCTACTTTCTACGCGGTACACAACTGCAACGGGTGAACATTCAGAAGGACTTGGGTGTATGGATTACATTTTCACTCAAACCAACACTGCACTGCGCGAAGGCGACTAAATCGGCTATGGCTACACTGCAACTCATTAAGCGAGCATTTATGGGGCTTGACCCTGACCGCTTTTCCAAAATATTTGACACCTTCGGGCGGCCTCATCTAGAATACTTCATGCAGGCGTGGAGACCTTGGACTGCCAAAGACTATACTGTCTTTGAGAAGGTCCAGAGACGGACGACCAAAATGACACAAGGTCTGGAAGCACCCCCCTATACAAGCCAGACTGTCAACTCTCAACCTGTTTCCCCTTTCTTACAGGAAATTATGTGGTGACCTTATACTAAAATTTCGCACCATCAACGGCCTAGACTGTTGCTTAGATCCCACTGATTATTTCACTCGAGCTAACACGCCCACTTTGCGCGGTCATCCCCTAAAACTACGCGCAGGGAAAGCAAGGATCAGTGGACGAAAGCTCTTTTTTTCAGTAACAGAGTGGTGGCAGCGTGGAATACCCCGCCTACCGATGTTGTGATCTCCTCCTGTGTGAATTCCTTTAAGTGTAGACTTGATGCATATCAAGCTTCCCAATTACCAGCCTCACATCCACTCGCATAACCCGGCACCAACTTATAAGTGTGTATACTACGTGTAATTAGTAAGTAACCGTTAACGATTACTCTTTTTCGACTAGCTGTCCGCGATCATGGACAAAATCTCCTTTTCACCTTCCCACTTATCAATATTTTCCTCCGACGACTTGTAACCAATAGAGAGTTTAAAGGCGCTCGTCTGTATTTTCCTTAATAAACTGAAACTGGAGCAAGGTGCCAGAGAACTGTCAGCGCGCACCAGGCTGCGACAGCCATTGTTTGCCGATCCTGGCATAGGAGGCGCTTACATTCCTTGAGGCCTCTTCCACAGTAACAATGACGTCATTGACTGTGTTCTCATGCATATCGTGGCTTGCCCTCATTTGAGAAAATCTGGTGCAGCCTTATCACCAACAGCTAAAAGCCGTGTTGCGTGTTTGGTTGCACTGCTTAGATCACTCTACCACTGCTGATGTAGCTGTGCTAATCATGGTTGCAGTCGGTCGGCGCAAGACTTCTCTCTTAGCCCAGAAGACCGCAGTGCCAGATCTGCGCCCGTGGTCAGATTTCACCCCGTTGGCACTTTAATTTTGTCACTTCGACACCATCATCGGCTAGGGCCGGGCTGTTTGACATCTCAGGGCATCCCACCTTCGGGTGGTCGAGTCCTCTGAGTCGACGATCAAAAACGCCGCAGTCTTCCTAGCCGACTGAATTCAGGGAATGTAGCCCAAAGGCCGCTAATTGAGTACTTCCAGCCGATGGATGCCCTGTGAGTCCACGAGCCGTCTTACACATTCGCACAGGGGGTTTCGCCTTAACGAAGACCTCTTGCAGTTGGGGCTTGATCCGCATACTAGTCTCGCTCCGATTTCGAAGAGTTCGAGTGAGGACATCCAAGTACCACAGACTGTCCTTCCTTTTTGTGAGATTGGTACTTTTAGTCTCTATCTTCGTCAAACGTCCGAGTTTTCAGGTCGAGGAGTACTAATTTCTCAGCGTCAAGTAACCTAACTTTACACTCATAGATGTGCAACAAATGCGTAATTTTTTGGTTTAAGCCCTTTTCCGGGTGAGACGGGGAGAGTGGTTTTATTTTTTATCAATTTTTTGGTTAGCCTTACGTCTTTGAGTCCTTGCTGCACTCACACGGATTCTCAACGCGTGTACTTAGGTGCCTGTACATTTCGGGTGTTCCCGGGACGGGCAAAACGGCTACCGTCACAGCTGTCCTAAACGCGATGACATCAACCTCGAAAGAATCGTCGGACAACGCCATCCCCCCTTTCACCGTGGTCTCTATTAATGGAATGCAGGTCTCGGAACCTAGGCAGGCGTATGTTCAAATCTACGAAGTGAGTCTCTTGACCTTTATCATTCTTGGACTGCCTGAAGGCGCAGTGGTGGTCGATTGTGAAGCCACGAACTTCTTAAGCGAAGACCGGGGAGACTGGTGGGGCGCCTCACCGGATTTTAAATAGCAAATGTGTGCTGTAAACTTACAGAACTACCGTTTTATCAGAGATATAATTCTCTCCGTCACTGCCGTGGTGGTCTAATGCATCGGGCATAGTTCTGTGGAAGACACACCTTACTCTGTGCCACGTCTTTTGACTCGCTTCTGTGCCGTTGCGACGAAGCGATTGAAGAAGACAGCCAGAAGTCCGTGACAATGACAGGCTCCTTCAGATGGTCAGCATATTGCTTCTTCGCACGTTGTCTCTTTTGGAAAACGCACAGTCTAGGCCGTAGTCGCGCCACCCAAAGAATTTTATTCATAGCCATTCCCTGTGTGGGTGTTGGCCTGTACATAAATCTATCGCTACGCTAACTCAGCATGTTTGAACAGGCACAATGCGTGTGCTTTTGGGGGTGGTCATCGTCTGAGTGCTGGACCATCAGCTGCCTCCCCGGGTGCCGGGACCACTTATTTTAGGCGAAGTCGGCACACATTTTTATTATTAGTGAAAGACGACCCGGAAGTCATTGGGATGGAGGGACTTTAAAAAAGTCCGGTTCCCTGGCCCTAAACTCAGTCTTTGGTAAAAGCGACGAAATCCGCCTTCTTTTACAACCAGTCCATGATCAGGTTGCATTTTTGGGACAACTAGGTTGCCTAATCTTCACCTCTGCATCCTTTCCGCACTGTCGCCACGCGCACTCCACTGCATATTCAGCAAGCGTGCCTACCATTTGGCTAGCCTTCGGAAACTTGTGTTCCATCATCAATTGATGCTAACAGGCCTGCCTTAGTCGGCAAATGTCTTTTTCGGTAGGTTAAGGCTGCTGTCAGTCCCAAGGACATCAGATTTATCTTAGGGCCCTTTTTGATGGAAAAGGACACCTGTCGCATAACTGTTTTTCTTAGAAATGCAGCCTAACGACGCCGTTGCTCAACAGCAAGTGGCGGATTTTCTCAAATTCCAAGCTTGATTGCATTCTGGAAAAGTTCGCATGCTGTAACTTGCCTGTTGCGTAAGGTACATTGCGTTCTGGAATTATCCGTCCGTGTTGGGTTGGAATTATGCCTATGTGCCGGCATTTCAGAACCCCATACAATAGGGTGTCTCTGAAGAGACTTTGTTTTCTTACCTGAATTAGACTTTGAGCACAAATTATCTGAGGCCCTCGAGACATCGAGAAAGAGGAGCGATCTGTGCACTGATGATTCGAAAAATTTCTATTTTGAGATATGCGTCAGAAAGTCAAGCCCCTAGAAAGGTTCGATTCCGTCCTGAATAAAGAAAAATCGTCAAAACTGATCGAAAAAAGAAACATCGGGCTCCTTAAACGTTTCCGTTGACACTGCGCATCCCGATGGGAACGGCAAAAAGTAGGTGAGGTCAGTGGCGCACGATATGACGGTCGACCAGAATTTTCTAGTCATTCGAGTGCGTTAACTGCTAGCAGTCAATAATAAGAGCACTATGCAATCAATTAATAACCGAGCGAAAAAGTATTTCACGTGTTAACTAGAAGGTCTGGATAGTGGTTGAATGCTAATTAAGCACAGGAAGACCGCTAAACCAAGAGAAAGTCTTAGTGACTGTGCCGTGGTCTGTGAGGGCAACTGGTTGGAATACCTGCAGTAAAATCATAGTATCTACGATCAACCTGGACGGGCGAGTGGAGACGGACAGGCACCCGACCTCACACACCAGGAACCATCGTATGCCAATTAATAGAATTGGACTGGGGAGTTTTTTGCTACATCCACCTCGCTTTTCACCAGTCGATTGCCGGGACGATTGGAAACCCTTCAGAAAGGCGCCTGCCCATTAGGTGCCCGAAGCATCCGCAGGTGGCGGGAAAGGAGATGGCCCTATGTGAAGGTCATCCGCGAAGCGAGAAGACTGTAGATTTGGAGGAGAAAGCAGTTGCATATAATAAAAAGTTACTACCTCCAGGCCCGGCCGGATACCGATCTGTCAAGGGGTCAACGGCATAGGCGACATGACAAATGTCATCGGACGTCCTCGCTGCAGCTGTGGAGGAGAACTACGTGTGAGGTAGGAGCCGACATCTGCAGACATAGCTGCTCTGAATTAGGCAATATGCAGTGTGTGTTTGTTTTCCGTCACTCCTGTCTCTTAATATGTCGAAGACGATCAGACTGGAGTTAATAGCCATAGGTATTGGGTCCTCCACCAGAACTTCTTTGTCTTAGGAAATTCTCTGCGAGTGACTTGCAGCTCGATTTTTTATTACAATTGGCATGTCTAAAGTAGCACTTCCAGCAAAGACGTTGGAGACTGGAGTAGCCATTCCTGGTTTTATTGGTCGGTTGGACTCGAGGGGGAGTGAGCTCCGTAAAAACGACTGGTGAGTGCCCTTTTAGCATTGTACATTGCCGATCGCAACCGACAGGACTACGAGCCTGTGGCTCAGGGGTTACAGGCGTTGGACTCCTAACCAACAGGTCGCGGGATACAACCCCAGGTGTTCCACACTTGGGCGTTGGGAATGACTGGCTGACGATGACTAATAAGCCAGAAATGGTCATTCCAGTCCCCCTTGCCGTTGCCGGTAATGCTATTCTGCCTATTCATGTTGATCAAACTGTGAAAAACTCGGCGCCTCGTTGGGATTCGAACCCACGCAGTAAGGGGCCGGCTTTAGTACAGCCTACGCTCTACCCACTTGAGCTACGAAGCCCCGCCGGACGACGCGAGTTTAATCACATTTGGGTCAATTTACCCGCCCAACCTACTGCAACGTCCGGAATCCACCAAATCTGATACAGTAAGTTGAATGCCCAGGCAGGATTTCCTAAGTAATCCACCCAGAATCCACCAGATGACTACCAGGCTTACGTACTTCATAGATGTTTTGGCAGATTTTGAATAATTCACATTCATATTGAATAATTCATATTGATTAAATTTGCGTCGTCCGACGGGGCCTCGTAGCTCAAGTGGTTAGAGCGTTGGCTGTACTACAGCCTTCCCCTTACTGCGTGGGTTCGAATCCCGCCGAGGCGCCGAGTTTTTCACAGTTGGGCCAATATGAATTATTCAAAATCTGCCAAAACATCTATGTATTCTGCCTATATCAGGCGTCGGTGTGCGGCTGCTGTTTGGGCTCGAGAGAGAAAGCCCTAACGCACAACGGGACGAATGTTTAGAGTTTTACAGAACTGTGAACTTCGTAGAGGCGTGCAAATTCTGTTATGCCATTAGCCGCATTTTTTCGATTTACATTTTCGGTCTCTAATCTGGTGGGAATTTTTCCAGCCACCTCAGTGCATTTCAAAGTTCCGCACAGTTGCATGAGTATGGACATTTAGTATCATAGTGCTACCGTAAGTCCGCTGATGGCTTAATTTCTGACTGCCTTGTCGTGATGAATTGCATTTTCAGTCTTGTTCTTTTCCTGTGCAGGTCTTGACTGCCTCTGACCTTGTGCATGACTGTTCCTTGGAAACCATTGCCTCATGCACTCATGCCTGCCTTTTTCGTAGCAACTTACTGGCACTCGAGTCTCTGTGAACCGAGCTGTGACCCTCCTGGAGGCGGAGTTCTGTGCCCCGACCCGAGTAAAGCAAACCACCAAGCGACTGGGTGAGATGCCCGCCTGTGTCCTTGTTATCGACGAGTTGGACCTCCTATGCTCTAAGCGACAGGATGTCCTCTATAGTCTCTTCGACTGGCCCTGTCGCCAGGTCGGTCGCCGTCTTCTCATCGTTCTGGCCATCGCGAACACCATGGACCTACCGGAACGTCTTTTGCATCATCGTGTTGCTAGTCGTCTGGGCCTCAATCGACTGCCTTTCGCACCATACTCGCACGAACAGCTTGCGGAAATAGTACGCTCGCGTCTTGGACCGGCCCTCAGCTCGAGCTTTGCGGTGAGTTGCGTGTTTGGCCCCCTCCAGCCAGTTTATCTACCGTCTCTCTTCGCCCCTTCATCTACATACTTTCACTTTACAACTGCTGTACACAGTAATAACCAGGGGGAGCTCATCGCGTAGGTGGATTACCAGTCACAGTGAATGCCTAACTGCGCGAGGCGATCATGCCATTGTTAGCTCATGTCTTCGTTCTTTTAACGACGCACTCCTGAGCGCATGAGCCCGGACACCGACAACCGTCTCGACCACCAATGAAGCCAGCTGAAGATAGCCGGTATGCCTCTCAAACGCCCGGCAGCCCAGGTTGATCATCGGAGGTCTACCAGTCGTATTGTGATGTAGTGGCTTTTGCCAGGTCAGCAATGACACCTGGTAAATATAGCAATACGTCAGGACACATTTCCGCATAACCTTGGTTTATGGGGGCTCATACTGGCTGGTTGGAAGTGTAGACCTTGACCTAACCTTTCAGCGGGCGATTTCGAGACAGTAAATATCATGCTTTATTTATTTAGACAGTGGTAGCACCGTTTGTCATGCATTCTGTCGAGCTTATCTTGCAAGCGACATCAGCCTCAGCTCATAGTTTAGAACTTGCGTTAAACGCGTCCTTTGGGATGATATATGGTATCCGTCGTGCAATACAGCCGTCATTGGCGGTTACATAGCGAAAGGCAGCGACTGAGAGGCGTCACTGACCAAGGCAAGGGAAACACCAGTATCCTTGTTGGTGGGTACGCGCGAGAATCCGTGTTGTTGCAGCAGGTATTTGAAGTAGGGCAACTACAAGTATGTTCGCTACTAACACAGCATATTCGAAGAGGTTGCCAATTTGAGATTATGGGGACTTGCGAATAGGTGGAGACCTCTTGAAGGGCGAAGGTGTCTCATCGCCGGGCCGATCGGAGCGCATCGCGCCCAAGTACACTGCCAATAGAAGCGAAGAGATGAGTCTCAGGAAGCAGTCCTGATGGATGAGGCACGATCGCTGGGACAAGAGTTTTATTCGCCTGATGTTTCGGAGTCCTGCCCGAACCCATCATTAGGGACAAGAGCAGATACAGTGATAATGGGTTCGAGCAGGAACCCGAGACGTCAGGTGAATAAAGCTCTTGTTCCAACGATCGTGTTTCCTTCTTCACAATTATGGGGACCTTTATCATCCATTTGATAATGCAGTTGTTCCGCTTAAAAATGCCGCGCCTGCTTCGTGTTATTTTGGGCAGCACATAAGGTGACTAACCAATTTCTGGGTAAGAAATATTCCTGATGAACACAACGTCTAGCGCCTGGTGTCCCTAATTATTGTTGATAAACCTTCCTCATGACTGATTACTTGCTGCTAAGCCGCAGCCTGGACGGACTCAGAGCTCCTTCGAAAAACGGAAATGCTCATTTCAATTCCGCAATTGATGGACCTCACTGGCAGGCGGCTGGTACGCTAGCTCAAGTGAGTAGAGCCTTAGACTGCTTACTTTTTCGTTCTTACGGCGAACTTTATTAATGGCATCCACGCTGTCTTGGAGGCTGACTAAAATGCCCCATTAACACGTCAAGGTAACTCCAGTTAATTTGGTAAGGATAGTAGGCAATAAAGAGATTAATGACCTAATGTAGCATAGCATCTTGGGTTTTAGTATGCGGACCGTTTGTGTCATAAGTGTGCAATCAGCACTCCACTAGGTCCGAGAGTTGGATTTAAGGTCGATGAAACGGTCATCACGGGGGTGAAACTTTAGAATGAGTTATGTAACGTTTTTCCTACTTCCGTAATACCGATATACCACGAAACGATGAAAACACCTTATGCCCCATCGTTCAGCTTCCTGTCCGAATTTTCTAGCCATTTTATACCACTTTACACTTTTCGTTCTCAAAATACTGTGAATAAATTCGTATCTTTTGCACAAAAATAGTGTTCTCCGGTTGTAATTTCCGCCTTCAAAGTAGTTTTGTATTCATGTCCGCTGGTTCCCCTCCGCATATGCATGCTGTCACTAATGCGTTATTTGTACTTGCAGAAATACTACAGTAACTTCCATGCCAGAGGCGAATCTTGTGTAAAACATTCATACAGATATCTCTGCTGAGAATTCTAATCCGCATATTTAACTTGTTACGTATAAGTTACGTACAACTCACTCGACCTTTGGCTAAGGCGTACGAACTGTCAACACTCCTACTTGCTTTTCTCGCGCTGCCGGAGGGATAGTTAAGATAGGTAATTTTTTCCGATTACTGATTGCTTTCCCTATGCGACCGCTCGTTGAGCTCCAACTGAGAGACAATTTGCCCCTATTCCGCCATGCGGTCTACATAGGCTAATGAGCACCATTCCAATATAACCTCAAGTAGCCCCAATAACAGCTAAGCGGGTGGCGTACCCGTGGACGCCACACAGTTTTCTGCTCAATGATCAAAGACTTCGGCGTCGAGTCCCGCGACCGTCTGGCTCGGAGTTAGGGTATCTTTGGTTGGCATTCCTTTTTTGTCGGTAACACTTTCATTCTGTGGAAAATGTTTGCCTAGTGTTCGTCTCATGAATGTCATCTGGCGTATTCCATCTACTGAACCGTACAAACGGCCACTACTAATAAACCTCGTCCAAACTTCGCCCACTTTTAGCCTAAGGCAATCGAACTAGCCGCTCGGAAGGTGGCAGCCGTGTCTGGGGACGCTCGGCGCGCACTTGACATTTGTCGTCGAGCGGCCGAACTAGCGCAACTGGAAGTCAGTAAACGCGGTCTGGACGGCAACCAAACGGGCGAACTGGTAACAATGACGCACATCAATGCTGCCCTCAAGGAGATGTTTTCCTCCCTCAAGCTGACTGCTCTAAGATCCCTCTCACGCTACGAGAAGCTCCTTCTGCGCGCCATTGTATCTGAGGCGAGTGCACGCTCCGCCGAAGAGGTGCGACTCGACAGATGCATCGAACAGGCCTATGCTCTCTGCACCCTCGAAGGTTGGTTTTAGCGGTTTGAATGATCTGCGCAGGATATGCAGTTGCGTCCTAGCGTTCTCAAACGCAATGCCATCACTCGGTCTATTTCGCTTTTTGAACTCCAGCCAGTCTATGGCGGGGGCTTGAAAATACGACGTTCTAACTCACGGGGTGTGAATTGCGCCTACATACTGGTGTCCACACTCGTTTTGAACACCTGTCTTCCATGATTTCCTGAGGATTTCTACTTCTGTGTTCTAGGTTTGCCGCGGCCTACGGATACGGAGATTTTTGCAATGTGCGCCTCCCTGGGTGCATATAAACTCATATTCACCGAACCATCTCGGAGGGACACGTGCATGCTGATTCGACTTAACTGTTCGCAGGCAGACGTCCTATTTGCACTGAAGAACGAGGAACAGTAAAAGGGTTCAGCCAAAGGACCTCAACGAGATTAATTGCCGTCAGCTGATGAATGCCTATTCCAAGATTTGAAATTTTATAAATAAATTGTTCATCATACCAAAAAAGTGAAATTACGCTCTCTTGCAACTGCTCAGAGGACTGACGTTCCTAAGCAGAGAATAGAAAAAGTTCGGTGTACTTGGTGCTGTGAGTTTCGTTTGCCATCGTCTGCCACTAGCAGCCAGCCTCTTGAATAAAAGAAAGTCGAAGTTCCAAAGAAGCCCGGCGCGACTACCTTAAGAAAGGTTAAATTGATAGCGGTCATCCAGAACGGTTTGATATCAAAATATTGACCGAGACTCCTTAAGTGTGGTTTTATCTTGCGATGAAAACCCGGTGTGGCGGTGTCTTACAACATCCTGGTCATGGACTATACAGTAGGTGGCGTATCTCATGAAGTTTTAAACGACAATCTGCAACGTGTTTTCGATTGGAAGCAAGTACTTAGGCAGGGTTGTAGTATTAATTAACATGCAGCGCAACTCCGAGATTTTTTAGTCATGGCAGGATGCCGGCCTCTAGTGCACTTCTTTTCGACAATATGCAGAATTCACACTTGGCACGAAATGACTACTTGCATAGCATTTCTATCATTGATTTTCGATGTCGTTTTAAGTTTAGGTACATTTTGCATAAAACATGTACTCATTTGGCAGTAAATTGCATACTCAACGAAAGGATACCTATTGGTCTTAAAGAAGCTCGCACTTAACAGACGGAGAAATGTCCATTCATACAGCATCGTACCTGTCCGCTTATTAATGCGGCTTATAAAGTATGAAACGCGGGCCACGTCCATTGAAGAATTTTATGAGCTTAATATGACATCTCATTAGTAGTACTGGGGAATGTATTATTACTCTTGTGTGAGAGTGGACAGCTGTGCCATACAGTAGCAGAATATCGGTGAAACACGTGTCTGTGGGCTCTTTGCGAGTACCTGTGCGCTGCTACCATGGCACATATTTTGTAATCCTAAGATATACTGCTAGCTGCCTATCGGCAGTTAATGAATATCACGCGGCTATCCCGCCGTGGCTGATGGACTTCGGCCCAAATATTCATACATCGAGTTTCGGTCTGCGCCTGTAGATCTTAGAATATTACCGACCTACTCCAAGTTCACAGGTAATTTCCGAGAAAATTGAAAAGCAACAATTTTCAAAGTTGAGCATCTACCAGAAAGCAGACGGGGAGTGCAGGGGGACCCACTGAAGAGTCGAACCCCTCGCAGCTGTGCCATGCAGCGACAGAATATCGGCGAAACACATGTCTCTGGGCTTTCGACGAATAGTTGTGGTGCCACTGCTATCTTGTAACCCCAGAAAAGACAGCTTTTAGCTCTACTTTGACCCAACTGTGAAAAACTCAGTGCCTCCGTGGGATTCGAACTCATGACAGCTAGGGAGGCTTTAGTATAGCCAACGCTCTAGAGATATGAACTGCGAGGCCCTACCGGACGAGCTTTTAGTTTGTAAACCCTAAAAGCAAATGCAACAGGATCAAAGTTACTCGGGAATTGAGCTTTCTAAAACCGTATGATATTCTTTCTTCGAGTGTAAGATTTGAGGGAAGACGTAGTATGCCATCGGACGAGTACAAGGATGAGTTTTTGTGCATGCTTTTTAAAAAAAATACATTTGAAGTAAGGCATCGAAAATCAATGGGAAGGACTCATACTACCCAAGCAGCCATCTCGCAGGAGGCCAGGAAGAAGCGCAGCAGTCAAAACCAGGTTTTCTGGTGTGACTGAAATGTCTTGGGATTGCGCTGCATGATAATGCTACAACTCGACCCAAGTAATCCTTTCTAATCGAAAACAAATCTCAGATTCTCCGTCAAGATTTCATGAGATACACCACCCGCTGTAGGTAGAACACATAAGCAACCGTTCCGGGGGGTATCATAGTCACAAACACACTCGTCCCTTTCCATTTGAGCTGTTTTCGAGGGGTCCCAGGAGCATATGGCGGCAAGGACGAATCTCAGGCATTTAGTGCGTGGAGCCCAATTGCACCGCAGCCGTATATGCGGTATCAGGGCAGACTCGAATTCGCTGCAACGACCTTGTCTCGAAGTTGACGAATGAACGTCTCTTGCGAAAGCACGTTCCTATCCCAGATTGACCTAATAAGACATGTCCGCTTACACTAATCTTGACCCTACTACAAAATCAAGCAATCTCAAGCCCTTCTATGTCCCCGATGTGGATTACAACGAACGGGAAGCCTCACGTATTTTCACAACGTGAGCGTGCACCGCTCCTTGCGGTCTACCACGAGGCTACTCCTAAACACGCTCCAGACGTATTGGTCATCCGCATCCCACTGTCGGTACGTATTAAGGGCTGGGGGAAAGTTCCGTCAGAAACCGCTGGCCCCAATCCCGTCCACTAAAACATTGCACTCGAACCATCGCCGCCGCCGCCGCCGCCACCACCACCACTAAAATCAGATGAAGGTGAACATCATCGACTACTGCAACCGGAACAAGCCTGAGTAATGGGTGGATGAAAGCGAACGAAAACGCACAGATTTTCCATTGAGCAGACTGGGCCAACACATTCTGGTGCAAAAATCAGGCGACCGAACGCCAACTACGCAAATATGGCGTTGATAATAGTCATTAGCATTCCTGATTTCTCAATAGTCTTCAGACACCTGGAGCGTCCCCCTAGTTTGCGCGCTATGGCTAAAAAAGCTAACCAGATGCAACAGATTTGAGCATGTCTCGTGCAGGACTTAAAACTGATTGAAGGCGCTGATAACAGAAGAGTTCGATCTACTGTGGGCGCACGGTTTCGCAGCGCAACAGCAGTTGTATGAAAAATGCATGTTACAATTTCCAGATGACACCTAGGGTGCACGACTTCCGTTCGAGTACGGTGACTAGCTGGCGCCGGTCTTTCACATCCACCCCTCATGGGCTGTGGAAGATAGCAATTACGCACAAATACTGCGAAATGAGAACGCATACAAATCGGCTGTCATGTTTTAACAAGAGCACGTTGAATAAATTTGACGATGGAAAGAGTGGGGCATTTACAAAAAAAGAGACTACGAAGACCAAATCCATTCGTTCGGAAATAAGACTACAAGTTCAGAGTCCGCTCAAGATTGGCGCAGCCAGGTAAACCACACAAGAGCCATGTTGCTGAGATCACAGCGGGCCATTGGCATAACGGAAGAAAAGCGAGGCTCCGCGAATAAATGCGTTCTAAAAGATTGAGGAGAGAGGTCAGTTACCAAGCCAAAACCACTTAGGGAATGGCGTCCACATGTCGGGTCGCTGGCGGACTAAGATTGCCAGGCTATGCCACAAAAGTTCTGTGAGCTGGAATAGTCTTTGACATCACACTGAGCGGGAAATAACTGAATTTTCTTGGCAGGATCCTGTTTGCGTCTCGGTGATTATTTTGGAAGAGGATCTAGTAGCCGCTTGTAAGTGCACTGCAGATCTGACCATAAGAACCTGAATGGAGGTGGTGGCTACAGGACACGGCCGCGGCTGTATCGGTTCCAACACTTAGGGGTTGGGTATGACTGGCTGACGACGGCTAATACGCCAGAAATGGCCATTCCGGTCTCCCTTGTCTTTGTCGGTACCATCTCATCTATATCTACTACTAGTCGCTGTGCGACTGCCTGTGAGGGTTCTAGTATGAGCCCCAAGGCACAACGGAACGAGCACGTTCCGTAACCTGATCGGTGAGCGCCCACTGTCATAATTAATATTCCAGATCACAACCGACAGGACAACGGGCCCGTGGCTCAATGGTAGAGCGTTCAACTCCATGACCAAAGATCCCGGGTTCGAATCTCAAGTGATCCACTCTTGGGGTTGGGTATGACTGGCTGATGACGGCTAATAAGCCAGAAATGGCCATTCCGGTCTCCCTTGTCTTTGTCGGTATCACCTTATCAACATATATCACTAGTCGCTGTGCGACTGCCTGCGAGGGTTCTGGTATGAGCTCCAAGGCACAACGGAACGAGCATGTTCCGTAACCTGACCGGCGAACACCCACTGTCATAATATATATATCAGCAAGGTTAATACCGAACGGCTCTGTCGTCAACCTCTCCACATGAATCTAAGATTAGCGAGTCGAGAAGGGCTTGGCAAAACGGTATGGCAGCAACGCGAAGATAGGAGAATCTAGATGAGTCGTTTATACTTACGCGGGATTGAAGGTAGTTGTAGCAGCTGATACTATTTTTGAATGGAATGGACACGGCCAACCTGTGAGAAATGGGATAATACTTATTATTACAAATCTCGAAACACGGGTAGATGCTAAAACGATAACTAGGAGACTGAGAAACGACCAAATGATGAGCTGTGAAGGGTTACTCCAGGACAGAGAGGACAACGTAGCCTCCACAATTGAGTAATATCGACGAGTGTCCTTGGTAATATCACAGACGTGATTTAAAGGCCAAAAACTCCGTAGTAGATAAGGTTTCTTTGAAAAATCTAACCTCCGTGGTGAAATTGAAATTATGGAGGTCGTGGTACCTTATCACTTATTTTCAACTTGGACATTTAATACGAGGTCTCGGTTACTGTGGTCTGAGGCGCAAACCTGAAGTCTTGCCGTTAGTACTCTAAAGGGCTGTCTATGGCAAAATGGCATAAGCACAACGGGGGCGTGCGAAAATGGGGATTTCGAAAACAACTATAACGGTGGCTAATATAAAATGCTCTAATTCGCAGTTCCTTCGCCGTCCTGTTGACCTGCACTGAACGCCAGACGATGTGTGCCCGGTGGGGCGCGGCTTACCGAAGTCTGAGTATTCAGCGAAAGGAAAATACGGAAAGCACAACGAAAATGCTTAGTGGACGAAACAGATGGGAAGCCTCTTTTCGTTGGGTCAAGGTGTCTTCTCTCTGGTAGAAGGGCAACTAAATTTATTTTTGCTCTCCATCAGACCTCAATAGGTCTCTAAGCTTATTCCTC